ATTGATATGAGGTGGCACGTGTCGCACAGAGTGACGATGTGGTACTATGTGTGTGTGTGTGTGTGTGTGTGCGCGCGTGCGCGCATGCGCGCACACGCGCATGTCAAAGCAGGGATGTGGTCTGAGTGGGCTCATGTGGTCCGCGAGCCGCAGCAGCCCTCAGGGCAAAGGCACTGGCATGACGCGCTCAGCCGGGCACGTGTGCCGCTGGCCATGCTGTGCGCGGCGGCCACTGCTCTCGTACCCTTGGGCTCCCTCGAGACCGTGCCGACCCGCCCGGCCGCACGCTGACTCAGCGCAATCGACGCTCGCGGCCCCGCAGGACCGACTTTGTGGGCCGCGGGGAGCTGAGTGAGCGGCAGCAGAAGCTGGGGGTCATGATGGCGGCACTCAAGAAGGTGGGGGGGGGGATGGCGAGGTGCTGTGTCGGAGCGGCGGCGTTCGAATGCATCGGCGCGGCTGGGGCGACCCAGCAAGGTCGCTGATCATGATGAAATGTCGGCCGGCCGTGCGCGGCATTGACCGTCCCACTCACAATTGACGCGCCACCACATCACAGCCCCCTCCTGTTGCCGTCTCCCCCGCCCTCAAACAATGCAAATGCCTGGCAGCTTTCCGAGGAATTCAATATAGGTGCGCGCGCAGGCCCCCGCGCCCCCGCATTTCCGCCGCCGCCGCCCCGCCGTCGCCGCCCCCGCCGCTGCCGCTCGCCAATCCCCAGCGGGGCTGCCTCGAGCCCGGGCTGGCCGCCCTCTCGCGGTCCGTGATCTGCTGGTGCTGCACCGGGCAAACCTGCCCACCCGGCCCTCAACCACAAGACCAAGGCCTTCCTCTCTCTCTCTCTCTCTCTCTCTCTCTCACACACACACACACTCACACACACACACACACACACACACACACCAATTCACCACCCTCACTCTAAGCCCCCATCTCCCATCTCCCACCCCTCCCCCACCCATCAGCCGTGGTGATCACCAACCAGGTGCAGTCCGACCCTGCCGGCGGCATGACCTTCGTGCAGGACCCCAAGAAGCCCGTGGGGTGGGCGGGCACTGTGTTTTGGAATTGGTTTTGGGGGGTGTGGGTGCGGGTCGCAACCCCGCAAGCGTCGGTTGAGCATGGAGGTAGCGGGGGGATGAGTGGCAGGTGCACGGGGGAAGGGGCAGTGTGGTTTCATGTGTAGTCGCCGCTCCCAAGAAGCCCGCTGTATAGGATTATGCTCGTTGCCAACGTTGATGCGGCAGCGGGCAGCTGGCTAAAGCGGGCAGACCTGACATGCGGAAAATCGAAGCTGCGTTCGCTCGCCACGGCGGCAACCCCCCGCTTCCCCCAGCATCAACCCAACGTTTTCGGCGCCCCCCACCATGCCGCCCTCTCGCCCAAACCGCAACCGCAGCGGCCACGTGCTGGCGCACGCGAGCACCCAGGTGCGCCGCGCCCCCGGGCCACCAGCTAGCTCCGACGCTTCGAGCCCGCTTGCTGCGCCCAGGCGCCCCACGAGCAGCCGATCTACTATGTTGCAGGCCTGCCGCACGCCACCGAGCCGTCCGCGACCACACACCCCACCTCATCTCTCACGCCGCCATGTACACAAACTTGCGCGCGCGCACACATACACACACACACGCGCGCGCACACATACACACACACACACAACACACACACACACACACACACACACACACTCACACACTCCCCCCTCAGCGCCTGTACCTGCGAAAGGGCAAGGCAGAGCAGCGCATCGTCAAGGTGGTCGACTCACCATGCCTGGGTGAGCGGCCGAGGGGCTGTTGGGGCAGCGGACGCATAACCCCAACCCCTAAGAGCTTTGGCGGTCCATTTAGGGAATCTGCTAGATGCAAAGGAGCGGGCACGCGGCCGTTTGGGGCAGCGGCCCGTCGCCCTTTTCCCGGGGACGGGCAAGGGCCGGCGGGGGTCGTCCGCGCGTCCGCTGCCCGGCAGCGGCCCGCCTGGGCACTGGCTTGACGGGTCAGGCCGAGGTGCTGGGGAGCCGGCGGCGCTGGCCGTCGGGGCGGCCGCTCCCCCCAGCTCGCTCGCCCGCCCGCCAGTTTGCGCAGCACCGGCGGCCGCCGGCGCGGCGCACCCACCCTCTTCCCCAACAATCTCACGCCGTTTGCGGACTGGGACCGCACCCAGCACGCCCACCCACCCTCTTCCCCAACCATTCCCTTGCTTGCACAGCGGAGGGGGAGGCCTCCTTTGCGGTCAGCGACAGCGGCGTCGTCGACTACAAAGAGTGATCTGGGGCCGGATGGCCTGATCTGAGATCATCCGCATGAGTGAATCAGAAGGATGAGTGCTCACATCGATGTTTTGAATGTGCGGGCATGCATCACTGCAAATTGCACCATCAGCAGGAGGAGTCTTGACCGCAGCCACGCTTGCATTGCATTTGTCATTCCTCTCCTGAGACCCCATCGCGCACCTCCAGCAGTGTTTTTCAACCAAACAAGCCAGAGACTGCACTTCCCTGAGAACCAGCTACGGCCTTTGGTTCATTCCCTTGAATCATATTTCAGGCGGGCATTCGCCCTCTGTCGTTCGCACCTGTGTTCAGAAGGACGTCCTACCCTGCTGACCGCCCCTGCAGCGGGCGCGCGCCTCATGCCACTGGCTGCAGCACGCAGGCTGCAACTTGCATGTGCGCAGGTAGCTGGCGCACGCTTTTCGCACCCAGCGGTGCATGTTTTGCAAGCCACCCGCAATTAAGGGGAAACCGTGCTGTGCTTGTGGTCATGCACAATTCGCAGTCCCGCCGCCTCGCGATTCTTATGGATGGGCCATCTCTCACCTTTACTGTTTTTTGGTGAATGCATGCATGTCCAAATTAACATGTATCGTATACAGTCACATATGACCGCATACAGAATGTACACATGACATGATATTGTAATACACGATACGTGGCATCCGATGTCCCCAGGCAATGCAACCAGATGCTTGCTGTGTGTGCTGCTCGGAATCGCATAGCGGATATTGATTTTTTGATCCTGGATACATTTGTAGACACACAGTATGTTATGCAGCTATCTTCATTAGCAGCAGCAAAGCAACGCAAGTCTGCGCCACCACAGACGTTCCAACTGCACAACTGCAGCGCGAGGCAGGGGGTGCGCACGCGCTGCAACTGCTCCGCAGCGACAAGGAGCGGACAGGCGCCCGCGCCAAGCGCGTGGATGGCACCAAAAGCAGCACCCCGCGTGCGAGTGCTCCGGGTGGGGGACACACGGCACCATGCCGCTGCGGGCGCCGATTGGCGAGTCGCATTTGCAATCCAGCCGCATCAAGGACGGTGCTCGGCGGGTATAAAATCTCCGGGTCACACGACCCAACCTAGGCCAACCCTGCAGGTGTCAACCCGGGCGCATGCACCAAAGCGGCGGGTGTTGACCGCACTGTTGCATATGTGCAAAAACAATAGACCACCCCTGCCGGGCCACAACGTGCAATCAACCGGCCGACCTCGAGGCAGAGGACAATGCACAGCGGCAAGCTGGACGCAGGACTCATTTTAAGCACAAAGCCTTGATCTGCAGCACAGAAAGGAGCCCAGTTGTTTGTGAACAGCTGCAATTGAAGCGAGGGGCCATCCCTATTGGGCGGCCTCAGCCTGCACGCCTGCGTTTGCCGCGCGGCGCGCCAGCCCCGCCGCCGTCGCCGCCGCCGCCACGGCCGCCGCCGCCAGCTGCGGCCGTGCTGCTGGTGCCGGCGCACGCCGGTGCCTGCGCGCCGCCCTCCTCCGCCTTAATCACAGCAGCTTGCCCAATCCGCTGCCCGCGGCCGCTGCCGCCGCCGCCGCCGCCCCGGCCTGACGCGCGGCCGCGCCCCCCGCC